GAGTAAACGTAAAGAGTAATATGTGTAAAGAGCCGATAAATAAAATGTGTACTGCTCCATTTTTAGAGGACGTGAAAGTCAATCAATATTTAATTCAACGGGTGGACGTATAGCTATATTAGCTATACTAGGCGCATCAATGTGTAAGTTTCGTCCAGGTCATTTATTCTATTCTGTAACTGATTTACAGTGTAAAAAAATGAATGGATGTTCATTTGCTAAACTTGTAATCTAATGGCTTGTTAGGAGTGTTTAATATAGATTATATGACTCTCAATCTAACCTCATTATGTTGTTTTTTTCTCCATTCGTAGATGGTGCCTATAAGGTGTTACGCAACAATCCAGACGTCAAGGAGAATCGTGAACATGTAAAAGCTGAATTTTTAAAAAATTCACCGGATGATATACATAAACAGGTGATTCAAGAACATCGACCACACCAGTATGATCCAAACGTGAAAAAATGATTGATCAACAAACGAATGAATGACTTCAATTTGTTTTTGATTGTAACTATGACATGAAATGAGAATGAAATTCCTAATGAGATCTCCTTTTTTTTAAAACATAAACGATAAAAAACATTATCAGTTGTGTGTGTATGTAATGTCATTGTAGAAAAGATTGCACCTTCCGTTTTTTTCTTTTTACTTGTGAGTTAGACTTTAAAAAAAGACTAGTCTTACTACGCACACTTTTTTTTCTAGTTTTGTGTTTGTATTTGAATTTGTACGAATGAATAAATAGAAACCGATCCATTCTTCTCAACAGTCGATTAGAGGAAATAATTGACTAAGTTATTCGGAAAAAAGGAGTAGCCGCCGGTTGATGCTTGCATTATACTGCATCCTGTTTGACAGGTTTCTGAAATATATGTGAGAGAAGATGACCTTTATTTAAACACTATTTTATATTGATGTGACGAGCGGTACGGAACGGAGTCTGCGATTAATAATTGGTATCGACTAATATTTTCGATATGAATAATTTCAATTTAGCTTACTATTGCACAATAATTGATTTTTTATATGACTATCCTTCATAACATAATCGAAAGCTGATGTTTGCATTACCAAAGTCAGTGCAGATATAATTAAAGTATTTCGACTCCTTCGTCAACAATTCGTTTTATACGTTAGTAGAAATTTAATGCAAACCAAAGAATCAATATTTGCAAATCGTCGTTTTGTAAAATAAATGTGAACCATCCTATAAACTAGAATGCAATTGTACTACGCACTAGCTGCGATGTCGATAAATATTGCTGACACTTCGGTGTCTTATAAGAATCTTATAAGATTTTTATAAGAGGTTCGTAAAAAATTCATAAGAAGTACCAAAGATTCTTATGTTATTCTTATTTACTAGAAGGCAACTTATGAATTGGTTTTGGTAATTTCTATTATTATTAACCCTTTGGCGACGGAAAGCCCATATATAGGCAAATGTCGCAACACTGCTGTAATTCAAGAATCATAACAGCTAGTGACTTCTAATTTTGTGTGATCATAGTTCTTACCAAATGCTGATCATCCACCAAGTGTGGGTCTCTTTTACTCAATGGTTCGTGAGGTATAAGTGATTTATTTCTTTTCCGTAAAATATCAATAGCTCCTCATCTAAGAAAGATCAAAACTTTTTATTTTTACCAAAATGTAGCCACGACTCTACTCTATCTACGATATGAATTTCGTGAGTTGGCAGTTAGTAGTCTGTGAAATACAGCTATTTTACGGGTGAGGTTCGCGATTTTTTGTTGAAACTTCGAGCTCCTTTTCGAAAAAAAGTCACAACTCAGTCTAGGAGCATCATTTTTACTTCAAATTTGCATCAAAGGCTCTACAGCGTCTGTAGATTATCTAGCCAAAGTATGAAGATTAACTATTGTGTGCTTCTGAAAAGTCATTGAGAACGACCACCCACGATTGAAACATACGTAGACGAGCGAGGGTGGCGAATTAAGGGTCGCTCTTTATACTATAGGATCTGCATGCAATGTACATCATAATCATGAAAAAATAATTATAGAAACCTATGATTCCGAAAAGCGTATGAGAAACTTTTGTCAGAAAGATTACACACTCATCTCTGACCTTCGCCATTTCACTTATTTTGCGCCCTTTTCACTTCTCTTATATTTTCAAGCAAAAGTAATAACATATTTGAGATCAGCAGACAAAACTGGGTATAACAGCATACTTAACATTCGGTTTTTGAACAAACAAAATTTTATTGATAGTTTTCTCTCTAGTGGGAAGACCGGACGTATATATACGTCTCCCGTCGCCAAAGGGTTAAGTTGCTTCTATTGGCTGAAAAACTTCATAAAAATTTTTGGTGCTTCTTATGAATTTCTCACGAACCTCTTATAAAAATCTTATAAGATTCTTATAAGACACTTACGACTGCCGATAGAAAATCTTAAACAATCTTATATAAGAAACTGATAAGATTCCGATAATATAAGAATCTTGTAAGACACTGGTAGGGGACATAGACGTTTTTGGTAAGATTCTTATATAAGAATCGATGACTAGGGCCATTCTTTCGGCGAATACATAAAAGATAATAAGCAGTAAATATTATAAAGAGGCTTGTAACAATTTCACCGGAGTAATTATCGATCCTTTTTTCTTCTTATTGTGATTATTCTAAACCGTTTCAACAATCAATGAATAAACTTTTAAAATCATTTCTCTTTTCAATGAAATTCTTCGGTGTGTCTTCTATGTTTTAAAGAACTGGTAATCACTTCGTATACCTTTTATTAGATGCATGTATGTGAAAACAGAAATTCAGTAGTTAGAAGATATGTGCACAGATTCATTTCTCAATTCTGTCTACAAATAAAACAAAAATATGGCGCCGGACAACGAATAATAATTAAAAAGTTCGAAGTCCAAGGCCGATTTTTCTTCCACTTGTGGAATTCATCTCGCCAAATCTGGATGGTTATTTAAAAATAGAACGTGAAATGGTCCACATTCAGTACCCAGAGAACTATCTCCTGTTCTCAGAACATCTCTACGTTACGTAGTTCTCTAGATCGTACGACTCACTTTTTCCAAAAACGGTGGCAAAACAAGAAAAAAAAAAAATCCCTGAACAAATCCAAAATGTCTATCGACATAAAAATGATCGTACGCACTGAATTTCTCCTATTACATTGTATCAATGAAACACATCATATGATCGATATTTATGACAATGACTGTAATACAAACACAGTGATACAAGTGTTATTTACTTAAAACACTTTTAACTTTTAACTACTTTTAAAATTCAAAATTTTTATTTGATTCAATAGTAATAGCTAAAATTATCAACAAAACAGTTTATCATTGATTGTACACTAACAGTATAAAAAAAATTTTACTACAAATAAAGAGTATTTTATTTAAAAACAATTTTTAGTTTCTATCTCTCACTTCAACTATAAAATTCTAAATCGCTTTCATCTGGTGGTTGTACATGTTTTTCATTCGATAACCATCGTCTACCAGCTTCGGATGTTTCAAAAGTCTTCACTACTGATTTTGTTTTTGTTTTTGATGACGATGATTCCGTTAAATCATCATCATCGTCATCACCGTCGACAATTTTTTCAAGCCATGATTTTGATTTGGTATTTTTAATTTGTTGTACTTGTTGTTGTTGTTTTGGTTTATTATGATTATCATTGTCTTCGTCAGATGAAGATGATGATGCATGATCTCGAACAATTTTTTCTAGTATATGTATCAGTAATGGTTCGGCCTTTTCCAGTGCTTCTGATGTTTCTGATATGAGAGTACGAGCAAATGTTTTTGCAATAGTTGGAATGTCCATGACATGTCGACGTTGTAAGAACATAAAATGTTCAATCAATACATCCCACAATGTCGCAGCACTTGGATCAGTTTTGTTCAATCGCTGATGAACGATATCTTTGCTAACATCTTTGATATTTAATGATAATATTTCATCTGAAATTGGAAAAAGAACGGTATATTATGTATGTGTTTAGAAAAACAAACGTGCTTAGGGAAAATGCAGTATTATAAAATAATGAGTCGTATATTATCATACATCACAACAAGATTAATCTGCCGATAGCGCCATAAAACATCAGCAGTTTAATAGAAGCATGGATCTAATATTCTAACTGTTCCGTTATGTCCATCAGTGTATGATGTCAGACTGTCTCGAAGCGTTATTCTGAGTATTTTAATGAAGAACTTGAAATGATTCGTGAAGTGGCATATCAATTAAAAAAAAGAATGTAATATTGAGTAAACAGCAAAAATAAAGATGTGATTAGTATAGCTGTTTCATTTATTCTGTAATGTATAATGCGAATGAATAACCTTGAGACCGTGCATAAGAATTTTAACTATGCACATAAATGAAATCACGCTGAATGTCCTATAAAAAACATTCGCTGATATAATAACATTACTTCGCTTCAAAATAACTTCTCTCCTTGATGATCCTAGCTGCTCGTTGGATGATTTTTTGATTAATGTTTTATTTTTTTAATGCTTCAACTTTTTTTATAATGTTCATTTTTTTTTAATGCTTTTGGTTGAAAGACGTTGAATATACTTCTTATTCGAAATAGAAGTATGTATGCAATAATACTACAACCATTTTGAAGAACTTTTTTGAAATACTCCTATTAGCATTAGATAGTCGATGTTGTAACATCACTCTTTCACAAAATCCTTACAAATTGAAGTTATCAGTTTAGTTTGAGCTGTGGTAAGGGAGAATGGGAGGACTGTCCGAATGAAGACGCGCACAAAGGGTGGTTGCAACCACCAGAATGCGCGTAGTGATCAATAAATGCAAATGCACTAAAGTATACGTGGTGCTGTAAAGGTGAGCGGACACTAACCAGAAATGTTAGACGGATTCTTAGATGGCATTAGTGTCTGTATTGAAGATTTTCTAAAGGTCTAATTTGAAAGATTCGTTAATTTTAATTTGTAAAATTTAACAGAATGGTCGAGTAAGGAATGTTGTATATAGAACTCATCGAGAATTCATAATATTAAATCTCCGATGCTGAAACTAATTTGAAGCCATGGGTAATGTCTACTTCTATATGTGCGTTCTCAAACTTTTGACGTGTCTACACTAAACACGATTTATCAGATATAAACTCTGATTCGCTTATTGATTTACTATTTATCATAAAACTAGCCTATGTTAAAACTCGTTTGCAATAAACATCATGGACCTTTCTTAAATTTCTATCTAACGAAGAGGTGTGATTCTATATGATATAAGAGGAGCTTTTTCAATTAAAATATACCTGTAAATAGGCATTTTTGTTTTGTATAACGTCTTATTGTCGATGTCATTTGATGTAAAACTACCATTGACACTGTTGTCGGTCCATATTCTTTCAATTGTGCACGATTTTGTTCATTAGCACCATTTAAAATTTTTTTTCGCTGTGAAATGGTTGGTGTATCATGTCGATAATATTTTTTTTGATCTAGCGTATTTTGCAATTCATTTTGTATATAATCTAATGCAAATTCTAAACCAGATCGATTTAATTCCATACGTAATGAACCTTTTCGACGATGATTCGAATTTGATAATGTATCAGCTGATTCTCGTGATTGTGTCACCTGATCGCTTAATGAATCATCTTGTTGTTGTTGATTGTCTAAACTAAATTGTTTTGCCGAAGATTTGACCACCATTATATCCGGTGATAAATCAGCTAAATGATCAATTTGATCCTGAGTATCGTCGAATAGTGGCGGTTTCGTAACTGTGGGAGCCTTGTGATCAGTAGCTACAACAGTAGGAGGTGATCGAGGATCTAATGGGGATGGTGGTGAGAGTGTGCGATCAAAACCGACTTTTAGTTGATCTTCGTATCGTTTAAATAACATTGATGAATCAACATCGTATGATTGACGAACTGGAGATCGATTCGAACGATACTGAATGTCATCAGATATACCTAAATACAATGTATATACATTAATGCTAAAATTTTAGGTTAATGCCTAGCTTATTTTAGCAAGATGTACCTGATTGTCTAATATTTCCTTCATTATTTAATTTTGTTTGTTCCCGATGCTGGTCGCTACTTTTTTGCTCTTTTATTATTTTATTTTGTTGAACTTCTTGTACTAATCTATCATATGGATTATAAAATTGCTGTTGTTCTACTAATGGTTCAGTTAATGTTGTCGATGGTTTCCAATTTGGATAACTTTGTTGCAAATAATGTTGATAATCTTGTTTTAAATGAACTAATTTCTCAGCATCCTTACGCAATTGGTCTAAATGTTGTTCAGCACGATTTAAATCTTGTAATAGTGTCATATTTCGTTTTTCTGCACGTTCTGACTGTGAATTCACTTTATCAAAGTATGATTGAATTTGTTGAATTTGAAAACGTTTTAGACGTGAATCAACGGTGGACATTTGACGAAGTTTTTGGTCGAGTAAAATACGTTGTTCTTCATTTTTCAATATTTTAGCACGCAATGATGTTGTACGATTGTGATAGTCGATATTCATTCTAAGATTGGTTCTAAATAAAGCAAAAAAGCTCAATCAGTTTTTCTTATATTATAGTATGATTAAAAAGCAATGTATTTTATGTGACTGTACAATAAAATAGATCTGAAAATTAGTCACATTTTTTCTTCTAATGCAAATTTTACTCACTGTTGTTTTGCTTCGTTTTTCTAACACAAATAAGCATCAAACTTGACAATTGAAAACATGAGAAAGAAATGACGATGACGACGAGAATTTTTTTTTGAGTTCCATTCTTGAGACCATGTGTATGTGCTTTTAGAGAGTTTTTTTTTTCTTCTTCAACTCCGCTATGTGAATAATGGTTCAAAAATTTATACACCTATATTAGACATTCAGAGATAAGGTAACTGGAACAAGAATGATAATAACAGAAAGAAAAGAAAAAATGTCTACTATTTCATTTTGTATTCTTCTTTTCTTCATACCTTTTGCAAAAAGAAAAAGAATTGTCAAGAGCAACATGAATATTATATTTTTCTCTTTATTATTCAACTACTACTAGCACTACTACTACAGAAAAGAGATGATATCACATTAAGATTATTTTACGGATGTTCCCTATAAACATCAGCTATATATTTTTTAAAATTTTCAAAAAACAAAACAAAAAAGGAAAAAAAAAATTTTTTTCATATATTCAGGTACGAAACATCCTTTCGCTTTGTTTGTAGTGATTTAATCGGATGTGGTACCTGGGAATCGTATACCCAAGACTGATTTCTAGAGATGTTTTTTTGTTTTCCTCAGCGCCCATACAGAAACAATCAAAATGTTGTTTTATTAAACCTAAGTTAGTTCTTATATTGTTTTTTATCGAGATATTTGTCCTATTAATATCTAATTGTTGTGACTATGAAATTATCACCCTTATTGTCAGGACATATTGTTCTCTCTCTTGCTGTCTGTTAAGATTTCAGTATGGTAAATGTTTATGCAAATTCACACAATTGTTCATCGAGTTTGATATTAGACATTTTGAAAAGAAGGAATAAAAATGTCTGCCATCATTTCTTATACAAATAATATACAAAAAAAAAAAAAAAAAAAAAATCGAAAACGCCCTATATGGCTCACCCTTTTGTTTTTTTTAATATTACCGCAAGTCAAGTATATATATAGAGAGAAAATATCGCAAAAAAAAAAATAAACTTTGTGTCATAAATGAACAGTTACGAAACATTCGAATTATATAAACACACAAGTAAGTAGTGGTCTGATTTAAAATGCGGTCAACATTATATGGAATATGAAAAAATGAAATAGCATAAGAAAATTATTGTCTCTATCAGATTTCTTCTCGATCTTCTATTAGATAGTACTCATGAACAGAATTATTATATTTAATTTTAAAAAATCTAATAACACTACAGTTAAATCTTCTTAATTTATATTTGCATAAGAATAATAACAAACGACATTTTTTTTTGACAAAATATAAAGTATAGAGAAGAAATATTAGCCGCAAAATTGATGCAAAGTTGTTTGTATGCAAAATTTTAACTAGGATTTCATACACATGTGAGTATGAAACATTTTGCTTTTAACGTGTCAACTCCATCTAAGAAAGACTTCAACAGGTATATAAATATTTTATTATGCGTACAGCTGTAGAGGATGTTACTATTTACGTGTTTAGTTTAAAATAAATTTAATATGAAAAGAAAATACTTTTAAATTTATAAATATCAAAAAAATCAAACTAAAAATCAATTGACAGATTATAGATTATTAAAAACAAAATCGTTTTCGTCTATACTCTGTTTTTTTTTTTTACTTTTTGATTATTATTTATAAAGTTACTTTTTATATAAACATGACTTTTTACTCCAATGTATTTATTTAGACCAAACTTATTAATTATATGGCTTCAGAAAAGAATTTGTTTTATTTCTCGTTGTCATTTTAAACACCTTTTTAGATAAAATATTGAAGAAATGGCTAAATTTTTACAACGTCTCTTTAGCGGTGGGTCATCAACTAATAAAAATTCATTGCATAGTTCACAAACATCATTAAATAATAGTGGAAAATTGAGACAGGGTGGTACAATTGGTGGCAGTTTAGAAAATTTAGCATCTTATCATATCAAAACAAAAGATTTAGAAAAAAATAAATTACATAAAGCATCGTGGGATGGAAATCTACATAAAGTACAACGTTTAGCAAAACCGGGTGCAATTAATATACGAGATCAAGATAAACGAGTAAGAATAATTCTTTTATTTCTCTAACATATGTATACAGTATTTTTTTTTCTTTCAGACTCCTCTTCATTTAGCCATTGTTCGTGGTCATTTGAATATTGTCAAATATTTGGTACAAGAAGATGCTCAATTACATTTGACTGATAATGAAAATCGTACACCGTTAATTAAAGCTGTATTAAGCGGTAATCAAAATCCAAAATTAAATTATGAAATTGTCAAAGAATTGATATTTGTGGGAGATGGTGGTCAATTTATCAATGCCGTTGATTTAAGTGGAAAAAATGCATTACATTATGCTATTGAACTTAATAGATTAGATTTGGTACAATTATTTACACACGATAAACGATGTGATGTTAATTTTCAAGATCGAGACTTTCAAACACCATTACATTTAGGTATGTAATGTAACCACTTTAGACTCAAAAGTGCTACAGTAACAAGATATAAAATAGTCGTAGCATATGATGTTTAATAATTCTATCGTTAATAAGTTCACTTTTAATAATAGTGTCTATATGTTGTCTTATCTCTCATTTAGCTATAAAAGTTCAAAATTTACAAATACTTAATCAATTGCTATTGGCTCATGCTGATCCAAATGTAAAAAATCGAAATGGACAAACACCGTTAATATTAGCAACATCACTGAATTATATAGACACTGTTAAAATATTATTGGAAAATAATGCTGATACACAACTTGTTGATAATCAACAAATGAATGCTGTGGACATAGCCAAGAAACATCATCATAATAGTTGTGCTCAAATAATTCTTGAGTATGATAAACAGCAAAAGGATCAAGAATCAAGAAAAAAGTCAGTACCTAGTATCCAACAACAATCAATTAGTGAACGACACGGCCTAACATTAAATCCTATGGGTAATGATAGTAGTGATGATAGTTCATCGTCAGATGAAGAAACGAAGGTAAAAACACAGAGTGTCGGTGGTGAACAGTCTGATGATAATACAATTTTGACTGGTAAGGAACAACAGAAGGGACTTGGATCTTTAATGAAAAACATTCCACTACAACAACCAAGTGTTGACAAAATACATCAAGTGAATAATGATAATAAGAATAGAATTACAAATGCAGGTTGGTATTATTTTGCATCCATATAAATATAACCATAGTTTTGTGGTGTTATTTGAGACACTCATTGCTTTACTCAACTAATTTATCTATTGTTCATGCTGAATGGATCGGTTATACACAACTTGATCGCTTGTTGTGAGTTAATTAGAAATAGATTATGATTCACCAGTTGACATTCTATATAAAAACAACGTTTGACTATTTTCCTTTAGCTAATACTGTTAAACAGTCATCGTCTACTTTTGATATCAAATCCATAACAAATCGAAACAAAGAAAGTGACGATACGTCTATAAGTGCACATTTTCCAGAAAAACCAATGGTTGCAACAAAAATGAATGATACTTACGCTGCACTAGTTGCTTCTACACCACTTAGTGATGCTATCAAAACGCGATCCTCTTCATGGTCAGATGAAGTCGACGATTCAATACATCAAGGAAGTCCTCACACGATTGTTCGTCTACAGAATAAAAAGAAAAGCGAAACTTGGGATGATGACAGTGGTACGTCATCTCCGTCTTCGTATTCAAGGGGCAAAAATAAAACGACTCATAAATCTGATCAATCAAAACCAACAAAAACCACTGTTTCAAGTTTAGCCAGTACGTTACCATTTATCCTAAATTCAGCAAGTGTATTCAAAACAGACCAGCAAAATGAGCAGATGTATGTGAGCGACGATGATGATCCGATTGAAGAAGAAGTAAGAAATAAAATCGCCTCTCCAAGACAAAATAATAATAATAATACAAACGAGAATAACTGGAATACAATGAATCAGTTAACAGCATCAACTAACGGTGTTAATTTATTCAATAAAAATATTACAGGTAAAGAATAGCATTTGATATCTGTAATCTTTGTGAAAATGTAGTGCCATTTTGCAGCCCGGATCGTCCTCTCTCTACCATACAATTTTCAACTTATTACCATTTAGACTCATCAAGCTCATTAAGACACAATTAACCCTAAGCAAGAGATTTTTTTTCATTTTTTTTCATTTTTTTGCGTTGAGATAAGAAGAAACACTCAAAAGAGGATCTTCCTATTTTGATTCTGGCTCAAAACCTCACAGATATTTTCACAAGATTTTTACATGAATGCCTAGGAAAACGTTCGGTCTATCGGCATGCTGAGTAGCAAGTTTTTGCGATAAAAAATGGCTGAAAACTATGACAAAAAGTCAATTAGTAGTGCTGTTTACCCGTTAGTATTCTAGCTAACTTTTAAATTAAGAAAAATGGAGACTTGTGATTTTTGCTTAGTCTCATTTTCTATGGAAAAATGGGCTTATATATTTTCCATCAAAATGATTTTTTTTTGATAGATTTATGGAAAGGTGGTGTTTAGCACGGAAACATGAAATAAAAAGATATTTGTTTTGTCATGAGTACGCAGTCCCGGATGTCCTATGGCAACCAAGCGAGATCATCGTCCGCTATGGCTTATCGTATACAGCAGTTGCCTGGATCTGTTTTTAAGATTTTTGTAAGTCATCGAACATTAGTTCTGTGATCTCTTGGAAGTCTGATGTCATATTTCAGCCATAGCAGACGACGATCTACTATTCTATATTACTATGACTCAATAGTTTCTTATACTCCTATTTACCGGTCGTTGTCAGGCTCTACATCTTGTAGATAAAACAACCGTTAAAGATGATAATTCATGGAATACAAACATGACTATTCCTAAAACATCGATGGATCTGAAGATGAACCTTATCGCTCACACTCCACTGCCGCAAACAACTTTGCCCGTTAAACAACATGAAACTATGTCTCCTGAAATTTCGAACAAATTAAAAAATACATTGGTTCATCATTCACCCATGTCTACAGCTGTAAGTCCAACTAAAGATATGAGTGAAAATTCATGGAGTACATCGACAGTGAGTGGTCATGCTAAATCGTCAACAGAATTAATAACAAATCTTATACAGCATACGCCAATACCCGAGAAACAACGGATGAAAAGTACTATATCATCTTCATGGGATGATTCACGACCATTCAGCGCTGATTTAAAACGAGCAATAACCACAGCAGCTCCACAAGAAGGAACCATTGAAAACCTAATCGCAACATTTAAACCAGTGAAAAACGATTTATTGAATCGAAAACAAACAAGGTCATTAAGTTCCGATGATTCAATTGAAGAACATATTTCAATAATAAAACCAAACGATGATAATAAAAGTGATGCTATATCAAGTTTAATTCAACATTCAATACATCCATCTGGTGCGAGTTCAAATCATCATCATGATATTAGTAATCTGGTTAAAATTGTTGAATATAATATTAATAAAAACCACACGACAGAGCCATTAGGAAAATTTGTTAGCGGTGTAGGCACTCAATCATCATCAGTAGCAACTACACCAATAAATCAAAAAAGGTTGGTATCGTCTAACTACGGCACAATAAAATCTCATAAAATCAAAGTATCACACGGACAGATATTTAAGAAACAATGGGTATTCGGAAACCTGTTTTTAAGCATTCAAATGAAGATAATTTTTTCACCGTAAAAAAGATCTATATTTTTGAATACTTTATTCAAATTTTTTTCATGGTAACTTGCTGCTATGAGATACAATGACTTTCTAGATGAATCACAATATTTATTATAGGACCTCATTGTCTCAACCCACTGGAAAAGCAATTGTAACAAAAATGGCTCGAGCTGATTCAACATCGTCTATTGATAGTTCAATAATAGATGATACAGTGAAAACATCAAATTACAAGATGGCGACAACAGCGCAGAATAGTACGGGGGATTTACAAAACCGAGATACCCCATTTATGTCAGCAACACCAAAAACAATGATGAAAAAACGACAACGAAGAATATCGAGAGATACAGATAATGATGAGCAAGACGATGAGGATGATTATGACGAATGTGAGTATTCGAATCAGGAGTGAAAATAAACTTTCTACTTGACATTGTTTGTTTAGTAACATGGAAAAAAACAAATAGAAATGATATCGATTATCCAGTTGGTAATGGTCACGATTTTAAGTTATTACGTCAGTATTCGAATGAAATGACGAGTTTATATCAATCACAGTCAAAACAACACATACAGCATCAAAATGGTAGTAATCATCGTATGTATGAAGTCGGTGTACGTAGTTCTTTATCTTCATCCTCATCTTCCTTTCGTCACGAAAATATGGATGGTAAACTGAATGAATTACGTGAAGATATTCGACAAATTGAAAGAAAACATGAAGATAGTTTAGAATTAAAACGACAATTAAAAGATATGGAAATAAAGAAAAATAATTTTGAAGCTATGTGGAATAAAACACAACAATTGCTAGCAGATACAGAAACAAACTTAGAACAAGAAAAACAAGCCAAATTAAAGCTAGAATGGAATACAAGAAATTTAAATAATGAACTCAAAACGATTCGCACTAAATTACAAATGGTTGAAGATGAAAAAGATTTATTACAACAACGATTTTCTACGTTAAAAGATCAAAAAGTAGAACTTGGCAAGTAGAATGAATAATGCTATTGTTGATAAAACTCAGTGAACTCGGTCATTTTGACTCGATCCCAGCAGTACCATGTAGAAACAGGGAATAGAAGAGGAGATAAAAACGAAAAGTACAAATAAGATTTTGTAAAAACCAGGTTAGAGAAGTAGTTAGCAATTGAGCGTATAGAAATAGTTATTTTGTATTTTTTTACTGTCATACTTGGATAATCACACATAATCAGATCGTAATCAAAATTTAAAGAAAAGGTGTTCATAGGTGTTCTTTTTCTTTTTTAAGAAGACAAATACGATCTTATAAAAATTCAACAGCAATCAAATTCGACACATATATCTCATGGTCTCTCCAATATAACTACAAATGGTATTCTACGTGAAGAAGATATTGAAAAAATAAAATCTCGTCACCGTGAAGAAATGAAATTATTATCTTTGGAAAATGAAGATTTACATCAACGAACAAGACAATTGCAATCTGATTTACAACTACATAAAGAATCTTTGGATGTCACCGTTCGATATAAAATTGATTTAGAAAAAGCATGTGAAGAAAAAACCTATTTACAACACGAAATTCATCGTTTAAAATTGGAAAAAGATTTAATTGAACAAGAAAAAGTAGAATATAAAACAAAATATGATAGTTTGCAAGATGAAATGCGTCTTTTATTGTTTGATCGATCAAAAATTGAACAAAAACTAACCGCAGAGTTACAAGAACAAACAAAACAACGGAATAGGAGTTTAGAAGATATAAGAAAATATAAACAGCAAATTGAACAGTTAAATATCAAATTAGGTATGTGCATAAACAATGAAAGTTAGACTGTTCATCAACGCGTTATGGTCGTTTTATTTTCAGTTGATCTACTTACCATTACAATTAGATTTTGAGCAAACTCCATTTGTTTTGACTAACGGCTTTCTGTTTCTGGAAATTCGTAACAATGATATTTCGTGGACTAGGGTGTAATCAATCTATCACAAAAGTTTTAACCCCATCCTATAACAGTTTTTCATGATCTTAACCTATTCTATCCTATAAACTTTGTATCCCACCGTACGCTATCCTATTAGAGACAGAGTAGGATCACTCTGCATATCTTTACTGCTCACTATTAAACCCAACTTTTTTCTTACATCAACATGTCCTAAAAATTTCGTTATAGGTTTAAAAGATAGATAATTTCATTACCTACATACAACATGATTTATTTGTTTTTATAATACGAGTAGAATTAAAAGCTGCGATTTTAAAACGTACACCAGCAGACTTTTCTTTTTTTCTCTTGCGTAACAGATATTTAACTTTTGCTCAAAATCAATTCCAACTACGACGAAAAATTTTTCACTCTATAATCCTGCATTGTTTGATGTATTTTATAGGTTTTTGTCGGTCGATTTTGAAATGAACTATGAGAAAAACACTGATTTCTCTAAGCTTTGCAACATTTCACTATCACCCTACCTAATAAATGGCTCCACCCTACAAAATAGAATGACCATGAGTATTTTTTCATTAACTCGAGAACGAAAAAAGCTACATAGATCAGATTTTCATCATTTTGAAGCCGAGATTGTGACGCATCTTTATAAAGCAGAAAAAAAATCGAAAATCTTTTTTGAAAGTAGAGTAGAGAAAATTCATAGAGAGACCTTTCGTCTTTTTAGACAGATAGCCCGCAGTATTCTCTCTAAAATGGGAGTAAAGCGAGACCTCAATTTTCAACGGTTCGGATGTGGTATCGGATTTCGCATGAGCCCCAGGGCTAGTACCCGATGACTTGGAGTAGCTATGTTAAGATATTATGTTTATTATGTTTATAAACCTGGTCAAAATCAAGTTTTACGAACATTAGGATTTTCTGGTTGTTGTCACCTAATGCTAGAAAGCTCACAACTCGTTCAGAAAACATAAGAACGAATTGAACACTTCAGCATAGAATAATTTTGTCCGTTGAACGGGTTTATACTACCAAACAATTGAAAGAACCATATTTTCGTTCAAAGGGCTTCTAGAAAACCCTTTTGGAAATCATAGAGTTTTCTAAACTTTTTGTTTGTAGATTTCTTATAAATAGCATATAAATAGACTGAATACAGTGTATTTTGAAGTGTTCAATTCGTTCTTATGTTTTCTGAACGAGCTGTGAGCTTTCTAGCATTAGGTGACAACAACCAGAAAATCCTAATGTTCGTAAAACTTGATTTTTATCAGGTTTCTAAATCTTTTTCAGAAATAATCATTGCTACCAGATTGAGCGTGGTAGGTTACGTATGTTTCACGTCCTTTTCAGGCTACTCCAAGTCATCGGGTACTAGCCCTGGGGCTCATGCGAAATCCGATACCACATCCGAACCGTTGAAAATTGAGGTCTCGCTTTACTCCCATTTTAGAGAGAATATTGCGGGCTATCTATCTATGTAAAAAAGTCGAAGTGAGATATCCTGACCTCTAAAGATTGGTTAAGAAAAACTGAATACAGAAGTGAACAGTTCTTTATGGACTATCCGTTGTTTTTAAGGTGATTGTGAAGCAAAAATGTTAAGTTTACAATATCAAAATGAAGCATTAACGAAATCAAAAGAATTGGAGGTGAAAAATGAATTTCAAGCATTAACTAAACGCTTAAATACAATTGAAAATGATAAAATAACTGCTGAAAACCAATATCAAAATGAAAATATGCTTTTAACAGGATTAACTTATCAACAACAAAAACAATCAAACGATACTTACACCGATAGGACGAAACATCTAAAAAAAGATCATCATAGACGTAGTCAACATTCAAAGTAAGGAACGATGTTCGAGACTTCCACTCATGACCTGATCAATCTATCCCTATTTTTAGCGGATCAATTTGTTTCCAGTGTGATGCCCTGCAACGAAATTATGAACTTGAACTTCAATATCGTCTGTCCATTGAAAAAGATAATGAGCGTTTGCGTGAAGCGTTTCATAAACAACAACAACATTCTGTTCCATCATCAATTGTAACTACTACCCAAGCAAAACAGGATAATGTTTATTTGACAACGACTGAAAATTCAAAATCAATACATGGTGAAACAGAACGTGCCAAATATGACTTAGATCGTATACAAGATATTAATTTATTAATTGATAACTACGATCGAAAACGTGCTACACACACATTACATCAGCCAATTGATACAACTCGAAAATTTTACGATCAAAAAGGTCGACAACGACAATTAACTATTGAAAAATTAACAAACGATTCATCAAGGCCACGTACACCGTCCTCATTTCCAGTCGGCTCACATTTAAATGGTGGAGGAGATTATGAATACCATCATCACTTACATTCACATGATTCGCACGAAAATAGTCGACCGTCAAGTCAGTGTTCTTGTACAAATAGTGAACTATTGAAAGAACGTTTAGAGACAGCTATCGATACAAGCCTTGCTGATGAACGAATGCAAGCGATTAAACAATTACCGTTACGTTCAACAACAACGAATACAACGATGACAAATGGAATAGGAAACATATTGACGTTATCGGCAGACGATTCTAGAAATAATGGAAGTAGCAGCACGGTTGTAGAGTTATTAAGAAAAAGATATTACATTTAACATTTCTGTTCACACTTGGAGACAGTGATTCATAATGAAGAAAACATATTCCATTTTTCGCTTCTGTTCATTTCAGAAGATCTAACAAAAATTTGAAATATAAAGAAAAACTCCCATTTCTTAAATCATGCTATAGTAAAATAATCGTTTTAGTAATGTTTTCCCCTCTTTTATCGAAAAGGTAGCAGACTCTGATGCCATATATACAAATATCTGTTATTATCATGTTTAGAAACAACTGATGTTTACAGTCCAATATTGATTTTGTGTTTTAAAGTGCTAGTTATAATGGATTAATTCCAGCTTGTATTCTGGAAGAATAGAACCAAATATCAAACAAAATATGAGCTTTTTTCTTGTTCTTTTTGTCTTTCATGTGAAATGTATTTACTATTTTGAGTAATTGAATGTTCATTATAACAGTCATTCTGTTTTTTTCAAATACTTGATAGTCTCAATTTCATGTACATAAAATTTCTACTTTTATTTTTTTTTCCATAGTGTGTGTGTGTGTGTGTGCGTGTTAAACAAATAATAATAAAAATAAATTGATATTAACTTTTGTATGTTATAGATAGCAGTCTGTCTGACTTACCTAAACAAATAACTATTGAACAGATATGCGTAGAAAAACATAGAGTGTTCTCGCTGCCTGTAAACGTCTGTAAAAGACAGTTTATCTCTTAAAGTCACTATAAACTCATCAATAATTGCAGTCTGATGTGATCTAGATATTGTAATAAAAGGATCTTGTACTCACATAAATGAAACTGTTAAAAAATGCAAAAGTGATGATGTGTTTAGTGTGAGAAGCAGTCAGTAACTGCCTAGTGAGAAGATCAATTAATGATACAGTTGTAGCTCACTCCGTAAAACGAAAATATGTGAGACCGATTAAATACTAGATAGAATGGAGAGCACTGGTAGCATTACATACTGCTGTATTAGTCTGATCTCATTATTATATTATTTACTGTTCCATAAACGTTTTATTATCCAGTTGTGGTAATATTCGTCATGTTTTTCATACAATATTCACATTAAATTCATCAATGTCTACTCGTGCATTGTATATTTATGGTATCTAGTTGAAAATCAGTCAACTTTTCATGAAAAGTTTTGTGTGAAAATTTCACGGTGTTGGAGTCATACAATTGCAACATCAAACGAATAATCTCTACTCATGACCACGTGTTTGATGTTGCAACTCTATGTCTTCGGCTGTAAATCTCCTTTGTTTACCCCAAGATATTGTGAAACTCCAATTTACGGTCTTAAACGCGTGAAATGTCAAGATAATGTTTGAAAATGTTTTTGCTATTTTCTCGCCTCGTCAGTCAGTCATCCGTTTCTGTCTTATATCAAAACTATTCGTGTTATTTTTTGATATCGTATGTTCGTTCGCTTTCTCGAAGTGAGAAAATTACCATCTGTTTGAGAATATTAAAAAGAACAACAGCAATTTAGTTATAATACACGATTGAAGAACGTGTTGCTCTCAAATTCCGGCATAAAAATGTACAATCTGATTTGTTTGGCTTGTTTTATTGTTATTACAACAACAGTAAGATATTGTTCTCATGAAGACATATTCGTTCAGCTGTTGTTCGGATTCAATTGTTCTAGGTCTCTACATTGCCAGATACCATTGACAATTTAGAATATGACTTAGCTATGTTACCCGATGAATATAAACATTTGACTAAAAATTTAATTTTCACAAGAGATGCTGCTTCAGAGTAAATTAGAGCGAATATTCTTACTGTTTTTGATCATATTTTGGGAATTTTTCTAGTGAAAAAGCGTATTGTTGTAAAAATTGGCAAATGATCAATAACGATGAAATTCATACAAAAGTGCAAGCTGTACACACTCCAACTGCTCATGTTGTGACAATTGGTTATCAAGACTGTAACGGCGTGTTAAATCCAACAAGTATGAATCACCGTTTATTCACAATAAAATATATCTAAACTTATTTTACGTAGTGCCAACGGTACCTCCCCCACCCCGTACACCTCGTTCAACATCACCTTCTCCACCCCGTTCAACAACAAATAGGCCGGGTCGATCAACCACACAATGCATGTTCACTGCCGTCAACAAAACAGAATATTTGTAAGTTAACCACATTTAATCAGCACTTAGATATTGAGATGCTCACTTGCCCACTTGGTCAGCATTTTAAAAGAAAATTTTTCTTTGTCTACCGAAATTTTCTAAATATTATATTAGTTATAAAAGTTCCGAAAGACATCTCTGTGAATAGGTCGAACGTTATTAACATTGTTGTTCAGTTTGTTTAATTTGTAACGAGAGCAGTCAATCATTCTCTCTTTCAATAGTTAGAACAAAAGACCTAAAAATTTCAAACTTTTTCATTATGTTTTAGTTTGGCCACAAAATATTCAATCATCACATATTTAGTTCCAAATTCTCATAAATATTGTGCACCAGAAGATTATGGTTGTTGTCCAACATATGTTTTATTGAACGATAACTGTATCCGTAAGTAATTTTTGATAACAATAAATTTTTTAATTATTATTTTATTTTCATACGTATATTTTTAGCTGAATCAGAGGTTGCTGGTCTTGAATTTTTAATACAACTTGGATTGATTGGCGTTGGAAAAAAATAACATCAATCTAAGGTTGTTTGCTCAAACGTTTATTTTCTATTCAGATCATGAAAGAAATGAAATGGAATGAAGTAATCAAACTTCATCTAATTAAACTGATTAAAATAAAAGTTTATACATATCTGTAAGTGGTTGTGTTCAAAAGTAAGAGGAAGCTTTGATTTATACAAAAAAAGCTATAATTTTCTTCTATTTATGGTATAGATTTAATGTGTTGACTAATAATGGTGACTGGAAGTCAATTATTTGACGATTATTTCTGACATTCGAAGTTTCTTTCATAAGAAATTCATAACTCAGCCTAAAGGCTATTAATTCTGCTCAAAAATATATGGAAAGTAGAAAAGACACTAACGAGGGAAGGTCTTCAGATACCAAACTCCGCTTTTAATGATATTATACCAGTTAATAGAGGAAAGTGAGCTGATAAAAACCCTAAAAAAAGGTTTGGGTTCAAATTACTTCTTTTAAAAGTTATGAATTTTTTTTGTTCTAAAAGAACACTGTCTGCAGTATATTTTTCCAAACCGCACAATTTTTAGTGATAACATTTCTTTTTTATTAAAATGTGATATTGCGTGCATTTTTTCCTGTTGAAAACTTTCTGTTACGGGAAGAAAACAAACAAGATAATTAGCTTTGTTTTTTAGCTTGCTTTTAGCAGATTATTAGCACAAATACAGAAGAAAATTTCAGCTCTTAATTCTTTGTTTTGACTGGGTTACAGAACTTTTACTGCTACTGGCACACAGTGTTCTTTTAGAGCAAAAAAAAATTCATAACTTTTAAAAGAAGTAATTTGAACCCAAACCTTTTTTTAGGGTTTTTATCAGCACATTTTCCTCTATTAACTGGCATAATATCATTAAAAGCGGAGTTTGGTATCTGAAGGCCCCCTCTCGTAAGTAACAAAAATGGATAAGGATGAAATCTTCTTGACAATGTGTCAACCACCGTAGTTTTCATCATTGATTTCATGAATATTATTTTTTATGAAAAAAATTTCGAATGTCAGAAATAATCGTCAAATAATTGATTTCAAGTCACCATTATTAGTCAACATATTAAATCTATACCATAAATAGAAGAAAATTATGGCTAAACGTTGTTATCTAGAAAAACTCTTCATCAAACTTGGATCAAAAGTTATTAACATTTTACAGGTAATAATGAAATAGTTATATATCACGAACTATCCGGATGAGATAATCATCATATGAATAAGTGTACATCAGCAAAAGATTTGAAATCATCAGTTGTCACGATTCGAGAGATACAGTGGACAAAGATACTTTTGATTATTAATGATATATCAGATCTATCTTTCAAAAAATCTCTCTTATAAATAACGGTCTATATATATTTGCATGACAATATATTCAATAATCTTCCGATTAGTTATCATTTTTTTAATCTCATATCAAAATATAACTTAATACATTATATAACAAACAAACTATAACGCAGGAAAAATAAACACGTATACACACACACACATATATATTGAGCAGCACCATAAAATGAAAAAAAAAATTTAATTTCTTTACCATAGCTATGCGAGCGAGAAAAAACGAAAAAAACAACTAGTTTTGACATGTTAAAATTTCTTAAAAGTATATCGTAGAGTATATTGTAGAGAAATTGTGAAACTCATACATAAATTTTAAGATTAATTTACTAGTTGAACATATTGACTCAAATAAAATTTTTTGAATTGCTTTTTTAAAACAAAAAACACAATAACAAAAAGTGACTGTAACAGTTTTGTAAAACATTTGCATTTTATTCACTACGCTTAACATAAATTTTCTGACCCCTTTGACTAGAAACCATTACAAACAATTTTGAAAAAAACAAAACACTCACTTTATATATGGAAAAAAAGTAAATGTAAACTTGCATGATTCTCATTTCATTAGATATTGTAAATAATGCAGTTAAATCTGACAGCGAGGATATGTATGTTGGAGGACGAAACGAAATGCAGTAATAATCCATAGATAAGTAAATAATGTTTATAATAAATGTTTAATTTTATCTTGTAAAATATTTTTTACTTCTGTTATTTTATTTAATGGTTTTCGAGTAATTAGTTGTTTGGTCGTTATTGTTGATAATGTTTTATTTAAACTTTGATGATATGCTAAACAATAACAATAACTTTTTAATTCATATCGATCTTGGATACATGCTGAAGATTTTCTATAAAGATTAATTCTCGACATATCTGAATGAAGTTGTATGAATTTATTTAATGGATCATACAAAAGATTCGATTCAAATATAGCCATTGATGGTTGTGTTTCGAACAAAACCGTATACAAATGAGTAAAATTACCCAATGTAACATTGTTACGATAATGTTTTATTTTTGGTAAAATTTCAACATCAGCTCGAATAATTGATTTTAATTCTAATTTCATACATAAGTGTTTATGATTTTTTAATTTTTGATCATTTATATATGAAACACTATAAAGTGCAACTTGTTTAACAATAGGTGTTTCAATATCTATTGGATTTGAACGTGAACATGGACAAAATTTTTCTGGAATACCCGCTGTTGTACAATCACGATTTGGAATTGGATGAAATAAACTAATACCGGATGTTGTTGATTTCCACTCTACTTCGAGTGGATGAAATATAGACGGTTTTTCAATCATATTTAAAATATTAACCAATGTTTCATAAACATCCCACCAAGATGTTAAAACTAAAGAAAATAAAAATTATTTAAAAATTAACTTCAATCAATTTTAGACTGCTGTCAATTTCATTCATTTCAGTTTCTTTGAGAAAAAAATGTATATAAAATTGTTTTAGTTAATCTCAAATGATGCCAATATTGTTCAAACTAGCATTTTGAAAGTCAATCGCACACTTATAAATGCACTTCAAACAGAATGAGTGTCTCGCGCAGACACGTAAATGTCCTCAAAAAGTCAACGACCTCAAGTGTCTAGATATCTTGAAATGGAGTTCTATTCATTTTTTTTAAATATTCTTTTACATTAAAATCAAGTTGTACACATTTCCTATACTGATAACTACCAACATACTTTGAAAATATCATAATATTTAAGTAAAAAATATATATATAATAAAAAAAATATCAAAGTTTTTGTACGACAATAGTGGATGGCATGATAGTAGACAATTTAAGGATATAAAATACACAGAAAAAAATATTTTTTTTAAATTTTTCTTTTAAACACTCATTTTATTAATCGTACGTCTGAACTATAGAAATGTTTTAATTAGTTGGAAAATATCTAGTTTATTGAGATTAGTAAGTGCATAAAACAGACTATAACTTTTCCAAGGAAAGATAAAATTCAACATTGCACAAAAATTATTATTCTAAATGTATTACTGTTGAACAGCCAATAAAAATGGGATTTAATTGAATTTAAGAATCGATAAGATGTTTTCTTTAACTTCTATAAGAAAATATCCAAATACAGTTTAATTCGATACACGCTGATAAACTATAGCCAATTCGTATCTATCGATCTAATAATACTTATTTATTATCGTTATATCAATAAATAAACAGATTTGAGAATGGATGCATTATACATGTATTTACCAACATATGTAGGTCACATGGAGAAAAAAAATGTATTGAATAAATGCGAAAAGATCAACTTTTAACTAATTTCACTTCTAAAAGCTGATATTTATTAGATGTGTTATACGTGTGAAAAAAAACATACGGTTTAGATTTTATATTATTAACAGATGCGCTTCTAAAGATATGTACGCTTGTTAAACCAATTTGTCATGGATTTTTCTCGATCGCATTGGCATTCTCCCGAGTTTACATGCACATACGCCGATATTTCTAAGATTTTATTTAAACATTTAGATTTTTTTAGAAGTCAAGATACGAAACAGAACATTTGGAACAAAATAAAGCATTTTGAATTTTTTAGCCATTACCAGTTGACAATGTCAACGTCAGTATACTTAGAAAAAATGCAGAGTATTGGTTTTTTTTTAGAAAGAACAACGTCTGCATTAGAAAGAATTTTACGATTAAGAATATATCCGTGACGAATAGCATATCCCTGTACCAAAACTAACTTTTGCTGTATTTCTATAATGATTAAGATTAAAAATAATCTCAAATTTAACAAATACCAATCATTTTTTATGCAGAGTTTATAGAAATAAATAAAGTGTCAAAGATGAATTATTTAAAAGTCTTATATTCATGCGATGTTTACTATGAGAAAAACGGACTAATTTGACTTATTTTAGCTAGTTTCTCAGACATCAGTAATAACACTAAACAAAATCTAACTTTAATAACCATTACCTTTTCTATTGTTGATAAGATTTTCAATTGCTTTTGGAAATTTTTGTTTAAACCAGTCGGGTAATAACATGGAGAAAAATGGTAATTTAGCCTCAAAACTTCCCATTTGTGTTAAACGTACTGGATGTTGACGATGTCCATGATCACCACATAATATGAAAATTGTATTACTCAATAGACCTTTATCAAAGAAATTTTCAAAATATGTTTTCAGATCACTATCAATCCAAAATAGACGTTCCATATAATCATGTGACATTTCATTTAGTTTTAATATTCCAAATTTTGGTTGATCTGTACTTGAATGAACTTCAAGAAATTGTTTTAACCAGTCTAATGATAATCGATGTAATAAATTATTTAGATAACATGGTTTCGGATTGGAATTACCCCAAAATTTATTATAGGATAAACTGTCATAGATACTTAACCAAAATGGTCTTAAATAATAATCTGTGGGTTGTTCATGAAATCCATTTTTTAAATTATAAAATGCACTTTCTTTCCATTCTTCACTGAAAAACGTCGTGTAATTAAACTTTTTGGAAAAGTTTTTTATTATAAATGAATGATTATCATACGGTCCTGGATAATGAACAGTTTTTTTTATCGTTACTTTTTTTTTACCTTGTCCTTTTGTTTCTTGTATTTCAAATGTATAACGCGAATCATTGACATTCGGTATCAATAAATCTTTAGCATATTTACCAAAAAATAGGGGCACAATATTATCAAACGTTCCATCACCGACAACTGAATGACGATTAAATGAATAAAGACCTTTTTTTTCTAAATAGGCGAGTGTTTGTGGTAGAGCACGACGTGCTTGTAAGTCACTAACAGCATCAAGAATGATAAACAAAATACTTGGTGGCATTATTTTGGTTTGAATGGGATTTTCCCACCAAGTTTGAGTAGTAGGACGAATCCATTCTTCGTAGGAAAATGGACGTTTCTTAAGTCTCATTAATGTATGAACATATTCTTGAACCGGTTTATCGGATTGAATTACGGGTTTTCGACCTTTCATTGTGGTTGTTGATATAGTGCGAATTGTCGTTGATTGTCGATCTTTTGTACAATTCTGACCACTAAAAAGATACATATATAATATTAAAAAGAAGTTTAGATAGGGATGAAGATAGATTTGAATATGCTTGAGTTTGTTCATGAACAATAATCTATTGCATTTGAAACATGAAGTAGATGTTAATTTATATAAAAATAGGCAAACAGTACTTATCGTCTTTGACATTAAACAAGCGTTTGATTGCGTGTGGTCTAATGGGTTATTGTACAAGTTGAAAAGATAAATGTGCCCGAATACTTATGGATTTGGATTTAGATTTGTCAATTTTTATCTGATCGAAAAGCATTAACTGAATACAAATGCACAATATCAACAACATTTAAATTCAACAAGTATATCGAAAGGCTTCGACACAACTAGGTGTGTTAAATGGTTTATCAAAAAAAGTCAGATGATAACTCAGAACGAGCATTATAGACAGTATATAAAAGCATCGTACGTTCGATATTACTAGACGCATCACCAATATTTTTGAGTGTATATCAGAACAATTTTACAGCTCAAGTACGTATGTACACCAACAGCTTTAACAAGAAACTATTTTTAATTATTGCAAAGCAAACAACAAACTATTTAAACAGGTGCATAACTCAAGGAAATACACGAATAATGCAAGTATTTGCGGAAACAAAACTATACAAAAAGATGCCATTAAATTACCCCCAACAGTATGCTGCCCATCATTGGATAACAATTGAAAAAAACAGGAAAAAAGCCAGTAAAATATTCATTACAATCTGTTGTCTTTGTGCACAAATTTAAGGCAAAACACGTTGGTCAACAGTATATTACCAGTTTATTGTTTTAATAAACGCTTCTCTCTATAAAAGCAGTTTTATATGATTGTGAGAAAATGTAGAGAAAAAAATACTGTTCAGGAGACGTTCAGAATGGTAAACACATGAAACATAAATTATTGAAATATCAATAGCGAATATAAACATTGAGAATTGAAAATAATTGATTGATTACATTTGATCTCGTTAGAGATGTATAAACCACCTATACCCGACTCTCGAGTTGGGTATAGATATCATTTTATTTTTGTCTTACTTACAAGTATACATATTGTACAGCAGCAAGACATATGTAAATGATGAGTGCACATGTAACTTAAACTACTGTTGACAGGTAGGGATCGGGTGTACGCTCGAAATGCTATATTCGTACCTACCGCTAAACAGAAAGATATGCATGACAAATTTGCGTCTAAAATGTCCCATCCCATTTCCAAAGTGGACGGATACAGATAAATGTCTCAACTTCGATATCTGCCAGGAGCGATAATCTACTAATACAAGCATGTCTAACGAGGTGAAAAAACCATATATTATAATAGTCTTCAACGAACTCGAAACCCAGTAGCTTTCTATCTATACAGTATCGAAACTAACCGAAGGCTCTTTTATCTGAGTAAAGAACTTTACCCTCATTAAACTGCTCTTAGTTCAATAAGTATTAGTAAACTTTCATTCTAAAAGAGGTGGTTATATGTCTTCATGCTGCAAATACTTAATCTCTCCCTACCAGAAAATGTTTCCATCGAATAGAATCGTTGGATTATCATAACATCTTGTTAGAACATAATCAGCATCTTGAATTTCATCTGTTATTCCATTCTGAATTAATATTGGTTGTTTGCTCAATGTATAGGTATAATCTCGAAAGTATTTTTCATCAGGATTACGACCAATTGCATAATAGACACAATGTGTTATTTTACCTTTGTATAATGTTTGATTTACAGTCTGATTTATTTTCAATTGGGTATAATTAATAACATCGATAAGTTGCTTTTTATCGGTGGGACACCGATAAACGGGTGGAATATGAATTAATTTCCCAATAGTTGGATCCCATGGTTTGAACTGTGGTATTGTACATGATGAAGATTCAACATTGTCCTTTTTGGATTTTGATTCATGCGAGATTAAACGGTGATAAACAAAAATAAAAAAAAAAATATTTACTATAACAAGAATATGTAGAGTATATAAACAATGCCGAAACCATCGACCAGTCATCGTTGAACAGTCACAAGTACAATCGTCCTGATAATAAGACATCACATTATCTCTATTAAAAAAAATGAATAGAACACTGTTTCACATCTAAAATAAATAAATAAAAAAATATTTTAATGCTGTATTTCTACAAATATGATAATCAAATTTTTAGACGGTACCAAAATTTTATAAAAAAGCATTTTCTCAGAGAAAATGTATTCAAAACGGCTAAAAACTAGATTTAATAGTTTTTATTTATAAGAGAAATTATTTGAAAGAATGATGGGTTACCTACGATTTGGTACCAGAAAAATTTCTTCAATATGCATTTGTCCACGGTAACCGTGATACACGTCTACAGTGAGCAATGCATATACCTTAATATATCATCCGTTAGTCAATGTATACCTATGAATGTTTTAGTACAATTTGTTCAAGGCCATGATCCTTGAGAAAATGTACGACAGTATCCCCTAAAAAAAGAAAAAAAAAAAGTCATACCGTTCTTATTTGTACTAGGTTAGACGTGATAAGACGATCCACCAATTCATTATTACACAACAGAGATATACACATTAGTTATTTTCCACCTTTTTGCTATTTCTTGTCAGACATACACAACACACCTCCTACTCAACAGAAGAACACATAATAATAATATTTGTTAAAAAAAGGTAAACGATAGATAGTGTACAAAATACAATGATTTTTTTGTCTTGGTATAAACTAATACATCATATACATCATCAAAAGATATGGTTGTCTGTCTTTTTACTTTAAATAGAAAATTTCTTCTTTTTCTTCTTCTTTCCTACTTTTCTAAATAATAAATTAATAAAAGTATTCTTTATTAATATATATTTTGTTAGTAAATAAAAGAAATAAAAACTGTCAAAACAAGAAATCAATAATGTTAGTTATATTTGTAGCAATTATCAGTTGTAGACTAATATATTGAATGAATGAAAGCAAAGTTTTTGTAACAGTTTTTTTTTGCTTTATACTTATGATATCAAAGTGTGGGCGTTACAACATTTTCACAGAAGAACATCAGTACACTGGGAAAAAAAATTTTTGAAAGATTTTAGCATTCACTTATCGAAATTCTTTTTTACGGAATTCTTTCTCATAAATTCTGAAAGAACGCTTTTTCGTCAAATTATAATTTTCAAATAATATTTTTTAAATCTGTGAAATCCTTCGAAATTTCCAATGTATTGAATGATATGAATGGAAGCACTTTTTTCATTCATATTCACGGCACTAGGATGTGCTGAAAATTCAAAAATTCAGCAGACTTTTATTTTTGCATTTTTTACACATGGTTGGATGGAGCACGTTGAGCTGATTCAGAAAATATATATTTTTATATTTGAAAAAGTTATTTGCATGCTGAAAAATGAAAAATAGTCAACGGATCTAAATGTTGACAAACGGATCAAGCTCAAAAAGATAAAATTTTTTTCGTTTTTCTCTTTCGATCCCAGCCTCGATCACAAACATCAGATTCATACTCAGTTTTTAATGTTGAATTTGAAAAAATTCGTTCAAAATGTTAGAAAAACAAAAAAAAGAAAAAACTTTTTTGAATTTTTTTGAAACCGAAATGGTTTTTGGAAAATCTCGATCTTTCAACTATTTTAAAAAACTCAGCTAACTACAAATTAATGATTAATGTATTACAAAAAAAATTTTGGTTCAGTAATTTTCCATCGTACTGTACGTAATTGTAATAGAAAATTTTCTTTCTTTTCTCTCATACACAGAAAAGTGTCCTCGTCAAAATGAGACGTGTTGCAAATCAGTGAACCATTTCTTCGTGAAGTTACAATCGATTCAATGAATCTCTCAAAGACGCTTTACTAACTGCACACAGTGGATAAGCAAGCAGACATTTGGTGAAAAATGAAAATCGACTTTTTGATAACTCAAATGGTGAACAATATACTTCAAGACATGCTCTATCCAATGGCATAAAAGATTTTATTACAAAGTTTCGATGCGTCAGAAAATAGCTAATCAAGAATTAGCCTGAAAATAGTAGTATCGACAAGAAAAGTAAAATTTCATAACAGTCATTGAACTTATAACCAAAAACGACATGTACTCTACATCTGTATGATGACGGCTACAGATTCGTAAAAAAACTTTAGTTTGCATTTATAATAGCTGAGATAATAAACGAAAGTTTTTTCGCAAGTGATTTTCCGAACAGCTACGTTTAGCAAAGTGAACACACGCAGGTTAGTGCAACCCCAAAAACGTTCAAACTTTTAAAGAATATCAATCTAGATGTCCTCCATCTGTGGTGAATGCATAAACATGCATAAATGCTCCCGGACCGTACATCAAATTTTCCAAAAACTCTTCGCTTTCTACGTATTTTCCATTTTTCTTGGTTCAGAAACATCTTTTCCGACAAAAGCGACATATTTGGAATTAGCGCATCGAATGATACGCCATTTGTATGTTTTTACGCGCAAAAAATGGTTCGATTTAATGAAATCACAGATTTGCAGCATTCATAGCAATTTTGTCTAGGAAGTAGGGTTCTTGATTTAGAAGCAGTTTGAAAGCCTATCAAAATTATTTTCATAGGTTTTCGTATGTGCTCTTTCCAGTGGTGTGATTCACAAAGTTCAAAAACGCTTTTAGTCTAGTTTTCTCCGGAAAACCGGGTCTCCGGAAAACCGTAATAAAAACATCTTTGAAATTGTAAAGCACACCATTGGAAAGAGCGGTTAAAGACTTTTATATCACTTTTATGGCACATGTCTACGCGAAGTTAAATATTTATGAATTTATGCTAAAAAAACTTTAGCATCGACAACAATAATACGAATAATAGAAATTTCACCAAAAGAACGTTTAGCCAATAATCCTAGACGAAATAATAATCAGAATCAGAATATCAACGAAATAATACTGGAAACAATTCGGTTGGAAATTATTTTGGTTTTATTTAGTTTTTCACGCTGATTCCGAATATATATAGATTGTTTGGAGAAAAGCCTTTTTTTAATGAGAAAAGGAGCATTTTATCTGAAAAATCGAGAGTTTTTGAAAATCTCCCTATAGGACCAGATACATTTCCGCGTTTAACCGCTTTTTAGCGATTTCAGAAAAGCTACTGATAAAATAATCACACAAATAGAGTCCTCTCCAGTATGCCAATGGTATGGGCAAATCGACCGAGCGCTCTGTCCTCTGTGAAAGATAGTTTGTTTACTCCAGTGACGATGGGGTAAAGGAGGGAGGTTGAACAACTTGAAAAATCCTACTTTTTTTTCACTTTTATGACGTTGTTGAGTGGACAAAAGCGAAATCTATTTCATTTTATTCGACTCATATGAAAAAGAAGGGCTTAACACATGAAAATTATTTTAAAGCAACATCAACATTTTTGACACACATTTAAAAAAACGCCTGTTTTTCATTAAGTAATAAAATAACCATTGAAGACATTAAATCCATGGTAGATGTTATTTCAGCTTCTTATATGATAAGGTTTACAAAGAACTTATTCACGATGTTCGCCATTCCCCGCCATCCCTCAATGGGGCTTCAGGGTCCATCTTGTGCCTTACCGCCTCTTATTCGCCAAGCAGTCATGAAATTTTCGAAACGCGGCTAATTAAGAAGTAGACATTTTTGTCGATATAAAGTACACAACAAACCTCTGAAATCTATATTGTCTGTAAGTAGAGAAAAATTTGTTTTAAAAAATTTAATTTTTTCGATTTTTCCAACATTATCCATTTTGTAAGGATCATATTTCGGAGACGAAGTGATGAAACGAAGTATTCTTTTTACCTATAAATAGTTCATAAAGTCTACTACAAAAACTGCTTTTAAAGTCTTTGAATTCCATGCTTCCTTAATTTTTTGCAATCGATCTACAAATGATCACTCGAGTAACCAAGGGTTAAAGAATTCTCTCCTTTGCTAATCCGTAGAACGATAATTTCCATATTTTTTTAACATTCGAACATAATAAAAAACAGATCGCTTTTTCTAACTCATTTCTAACTCTTAATTTAAAAAAAAATTTTTTATTATAACTAAATAGTATTTTTTACCTATTCTAAATATCATCCATGTCCAAATTGCAGAAATGATATTTGTTTCATGATTATGACTGTGACTATCGTAGATTAAAAAAAATAATTTACTATTATTAGAATATAAATAGATCTGATTATTTAAATCATATCTGATTAAATATTAATTTTGTTCATTTCTCTTTCTCTATCCATGCTGAAAATACATTAAATAAAATAAATAACTCTTTTTTTTTTTCGCGTAATGCAAATAAGAAAAAAAAATCTATGACAGTAATAAATAATACTTTGTAGTTGAGCAATATAATACAAAGATTACACATTATAATCGGGATACACACAAAACAAGTCTTGAATATTAAGTATCTTTTGTTTTTAAGAAGTATGTCAGATTTTTTACAGACAACAAAATTTATTATTGTTGTTATAAAGATAAATAGTGCGTTCTTAATCAATTCATGTATAATAATCGGAGATTCATTTAGAATTTTGAGAAATCTAGAGATATTTACGCTTTCTGAATTTCTGTTAAATTCTCAGAACATTGAAACTGGTGAAGGATAGTATGCGTAGTGTAAGAATGAGCCACGAGATAAAGGTTCGACGATCTCTGGATCTCCCGAACGAAAATTTGATAATATTGTTGCATGAAGATTATACTGGCCGCTACTCTCAGTATATGATTATATTTGTCAACCTATGTTGATCATTTTTGATTACTTGACTTCATGCAGCAGAAGTGTGTTTGCTGCATTATAAGTGAAATCAATTTCGATTTTGGTTCCGCGCAAAAAAACCATCAACCAATTGTACATCGACTACGTAGTGAGATGAAAGGTCAAGAAAATGTGATACACAGTCGCGCAGAGTTAACAGAGGCAAAACAATCTGACACAATCTGTTGTTTTCTAAAAGTCTAACAGAGGTCTACTAGTCAAGTGTTTCCTAGCCAACTCG